AATCTACTTCCGTAGTGATACTGCCTCGGAAACCCAAGGAAGGGTTGCTGTGAGTCAGGTCCGACTTGATGGCTCATAACAACAACAGTATATAGCCTACCTCTACAACTGCAGAAGTCTCTGAGGGGTGTAGGGGTTTGCAATCAACTGCTAACCTAAAAGCTGTCGGTTTGAACTCATGACTAGCTCCACAGAAGATAGGCCTGGCAAACAGCCTTTGTAAAAATTACAGCCAAGAAAACCCTAAGTAGCAATTCTACTCTGTAACCCATGGGGTCATTATGAATCAGAGGCCAACTCAACAGCAGCCAACAACAATAACAACCTACAATGTACATCTCTTTAGCAGTGATCCACAAACATAAATCCTAGGATTAGAGCTGGCTGGTTACAGAATACTCATGTAGGAAACATCCTAAAAATACTATAGCTAAGATCTACCCGTGGAGATCCAGATTCAGTGTGTCTTGGGTGGGCCCTAGGAATCTGTATTTTTAAATGCCTAAATTAATTCAGGATTAAAAGAAGATTTATTAACAACCTGTGATATGCAGATGATACAACCTTGTTTGCTGAAAGTGAAGAGAATTTGAGCAATAACAGATGAAGATCAAAGACTATCTATAGCCTTCAGTATGGATTACACTTCAACATAAAGCAAACAAAAATCATCACAGCTGGACCAATAAGCAATATCATGATAAACAGAGAAAAGACTGAAGTTGTCAAATATTTCCTTTTACTTGTATCTTCAATCAGTGCCCATGAAAGTAGCAGTCAAGAAATCAAACAACATATTGCATTGGGCAAACCTGCTGCAAAACATCTCTTTCAAGTGTTAAAACACAAAGATGTCACTTTGAGGACTAAGGTGTGTCTGACAAGCTGGTATTTTCAATCACCTGATACATATGCAAAAGCTGGACAATGAATAAGGAAGACAAAAGAAGAATTGATGCCTATGAATTATGGTGTTAGCAAAAAGTACTGAATATAGCAGGGACTGCCACTGGAATGAATAAATTTGTCTCGGAAAAAGTATAGTCAGAATGCTACTTAGAGGTGAAGATGACCACGCTTTGTCTCATGTACTTTGGACATATTATCAGGATAGCCAGTACTGATAACAAGTCCATGAAGGAACATCATGCTTGGTAAAGTAGAAGGTCAGCAAAAAAGAGGTCAATGAGATGGACTGACAAAGTGACTGCAACAAAGCATAACAATGATTTGAGGATGGTGCAGGACCACTCCGTGTTTCGTTCTGTTGTACACAGAGTCGTTATGAGTAGGAACTGACTCGATGGCACCTAACAACAAGAAATTGATTCAGACAACTCAAATCTTGAACTATAAAAGACCAACTGAAGCAAAGATTACAATACAGGTTTGATAAGTACAAGATTATGGCAAATGCATATTCATCCTCAAAAAGTAATCAATGCATGACTTATGAGTTATCAAAACTTTCAAACTCTTTAAGAAAAAAGTGGGCAAGAAATGCAAAAAGTATGACTTTTGGAACAACAGTTGACAGTTACTACTCTGTGGTATAAATGTTTTTGAAAAAAATTCTTAGATGAAATGGAAAATACACAAAAACAAATAGCAGCAAGTCTTGTGAGTCACCCCTAAGCAGTGAAAATTTTCTTTTACTCCATTGGGTAAACTTGGAGTTCAAAACACATTTTTTAAAAAACATAAAAGCCTAAAGATGTAAGCCTAAAACCTTTCAAAACCTAAAAATACAGGCAAGCAGAGGAAGGAATAGTAAACGAAATGTGTAAGAAAAGGGTACAGCATCAAATTTCCTGCTAGACTTACAAATTTTCAATTGCTAAATCAACTTGACAGCACCTACCAAGAACAATAAAGACTGCCTGAAGAAAGAAATTCCTATATAACCAATACAAATTACAACAGAAAATTCATAGACAGAGCAAAATGCCTAAATTTAATGACTCAGGCAAAAGTCGGACCAGGTAAATTTTTTCCTAAACAACCAGGATAAAAATTGAGTGTTTACAGTTCATATTATCCTAGATTCCATTTTATCGTGGGCAATGCCTACAGAATTTAGACTTCTACATTTGGTAACATTGAGTGTGCCAAAATTTTTACATGAACAAGCTAGAGGCCATTTTCCCCCATAAAATAAGGACATAAAACTGGTCATATGCATACAAGGTGTAGCAGTTAATGTTATGTGTCAATTTGGTTGGGCCTGGCTTTGAATGGCTGGGCAGCTGGATGTAGTTATTTCCCATGATGGGATTGATAATCAATGCCATAGTGGAACCTACCGGAGCAGCTGAGTAGTTGCCTTAGGGTTGTGGTCTGCTTCCAGTATACAAGTAGTTTTAAGAACAGTCTCTACAGTTTTTTGGCATGCTTGGACCCTGCACGTAGCTGGGTCTTCAGTCAGCAACCTGCCATGTTTCCTGCCAATCTTGGGACTGTCTCTGGACTTGAACTAGTGTTCTGCCATGTTGTGTGGTAATATTAGGACTGTGCCAATTTATTTATCTCGGGCTTGTTAGCCTCACCAGCCAGCAGCTGCCTGAGTGAAGAGACACTTTTAGCTCCAGTGGGCCAGAAAAAAGAGGTAGAGCTGAAGCCCAAAGTCAAGTCCCTTTCACCCAATCCTTAGAGCTGGCACTTTAAATTCAGATTTCTAGCCTCCTAAACTGTAAGAGAATAAACTCCTGTTTGTTAAAGCCATACATTTGTGGTATTTCTGTTGGAGTGGTAGGATGTTTATTTTATTTATTTTTATTGCATACTTTCTGAAGTAGACCTATGTGTACTCCTATAAAGCAGTTCTGATAGAAGTTAAATAACCCAGGCTTATTACAACCAGTCCTTACATAATCTAGTCTCCTCTTGCAAATAAATTAGCACAATTAGTAAGACATATGTCAAAACAGTGTTACTAACTATATGACTGTACACAACTTGATCTCTAGGTTTTAAAAAACATTCAAGAACAATTTTTATTTCATACACCTTCCCTAGTCAATTTTATGAACTAAAGTTCTGCATCCTATTTTGGATCCGACTCATAACAACCCCTCCTTGGTTTCCAAGGCAGTATCACTATGGAAGTAGATTGCCCAACCTTCCTTCCGAGGAGGGGCTGGTGGATTTGAACTGCCAACCTTCTGGTTAGCAGTCAAATGCCTTAGGAACTACGCTACCAGAGCTTCTAAAGTTCTGCATCCTATTTGATTTTAATTTACTGTACTCTAGGATACAAAACATGGAACATGGACAAGCCTAAACCAACAGACTTCATTCTTTTCCTGACATGTACAGAATATATTTTTAGAAGTACAACTACCAATTTTAATAACAGTGACTAATACACTATTTTTAACTAATGATTTTCAACCCAAGATTTGAAAAATACACATGTACATCCTAGCCTGTAATTTCCTTAGTTTTCTTGCGATGTATGGATCTCTCATGAATATAGTCATGTGGTTCAAACAACATATGACTGCACATACATCCATAGTCTCAATCTCTATAAATCCTATTTATATATTAATTATATCTAATATATATATTAAAAGTTCAAGGTACATACAATGGTTTGTAATAACAAATGTGTGCTATTTTGTGATATGAATCAAAACATTATTAGTAGTATATTATTATGTTAAAGATGTTTTAGATATCTAGAAGTGTTTAATTTTTTTATGCATAAAAGGTACATTATATACTAAGACAAAATGTCTGACTAACTGATGTTAGATACAAACCATTCCTAATTGTTCTGACTTATATACAAATTCCACGTAGAATAGGCACAGAACTCCTTCACAATCTGGGGACTGCCTGTATATAATACAGTACTCACACGACATCCAAATCAAATAACATCCTTTTTCACAGAATATACCATAGACACTAAGTGACATATGACTGTATACTTGTCTCTAAATAAACTTTTGATTGCCATTCATCTCTTCATATAAATACCAACTACATACAATAAGATAATATTTCTAGCATCCATGTAAAAATTCCTGAAGTATGCTGGGAACTTAATTCTCATCAATTAATTGCATAAAAGTATACCAGCAATTATGAAATCATTTGGTAAATAGCAATATCCTTAATAAAATTTACTATAAACACTAGAGGGTGCAATAATTCAACAGTGGTTGATATCTGGCTTTGATGTTCAAAGTAATTTTCCCTTCAATTAAAGATAAATTAAGACAATCCTTAGCACCAACAATCTTGGCTTTCAAAAATATCATTCTTAAGAGCATATAACAAAGCTTAGGAGAATGCTACTGAATTAACAAATCACCTAGACTATAGGAAATAAAATAAGTGGCAGTCAGAAGACTAAGCAGATTGCCAGAGCCTGGAGAAATTCTGAACAAGTGAGCACTGTATTATAGTTTGAAGTATGTACTTGGCGTCTACATTCTTTTGGAACTCAGTTCCCCCTTTTACGTTTGTCTCTCTTGAGTCTGCCCAATTCCTAGGGCCTTTATTGCATCCTAAAACCCAGCGGCCACTTCCCCATCCAATGCCTCATTACTTAACAGTTTCTACTGCAGTAGGTGACTGTACACATACACATGTTAAAGAGTACTAATGGAATGAAATGTTCACATACTTGTACTTTCACAAAGGTCTTCTGAACCATTACACATACCTCCACTGACAGAAGAGAATGGCTGTGAAATAGCCAGGTATGAAGAAAGTTTTAAGTCTTTTTAGCAAGTCTTAAATCACACTACAACAAAAGCTTGTATTTTGGAACTCCAATATAATTGTAATCATGATCTTAGCTTCCCACTGATAATTAAAAGTTTCGCCCATATATCCGAAAAGCACAGGGCTTTCATAAAGTGAACTTTGGTTAGAAATGTAATTTTACTTACAAACACCAACTTTCACCTCTTTATATGAGGTTTCATCAAGTTTTGCAAATTATGAGACTAGATTATTCTATTCAAATAATAACTTAAGATGAATACCTGTTTTCCATGATTTCTGAATCTAGTTGCAAACTAATAGTCTCTGTTGTAATTTCCACTTTCCGCACACTTCCAAAGAAATCAGTTATCAGGACATTTTTAGGATCCCTCTGAAAAAGATCAGTGCGATGTCCAGGAGTAGATACACAGAGACTTTTGGGACATACCTGAAACTGAAAAAAAGTATATATATAATAAATATACACCTACATATGCTAAACCAATGACACAACACAGACCTCAGTGTATTTTTAAGTCTAACTTAAGGAAGCTAATGGTTCTAAAGATTAAAGTGTTATATAGCTTAACATTCTAAGAAAGCTATGCAGATATTACAAAGGATAAAAGGGAAGCTGGCCATGCAGAGCAAAAACATTCACTTTCTTGAATTATATGCTACAAAATATATATTGATCTCTTAAATCTACTGTGAAATCACACTCACCATTATGACAACAGAATTGCCTTTTTTTCTGCATCTATATCTATCTGTGAGGTGTTCTATCAGAGTGGTTTTTGAACATTCTGTAATCATGATCCATCATTCAAGCTTTTCATTGAAATAAAATATTACCTACTAGCACAATGCTTTTTGTTTTTTAAATAAAAAAGGTGAAAGTGGACTGCTCCGGAAAGCAGGAAGTTGAAGCATACATAGTCTCTCTACTAGATATCCCCCTTGCTCTCCTGCTGTGAGCCTCTGTAAGCTGTTTTAAAAATCAAGTGACTTCCTTAGTTTATCCTTGATGTAAATATACTCATGTACCCTCCACAGATAACCCAACGCTCCAGAGAATACAGTCTGAAAACTTCTATGTACAGCCAAAAGTTCTCAAACAATTTTTATGTAAATTTTATCCCTGATATTCCACAACAGTAAATTACCAAGAACAGATGATGTGAAATCTCCAACCTTTCAGTTAGCAGCCAAGTGCATTAACTGCCCCACCCAGCAACACACACCTATTTGAATGGCTAAAACCTAAAACACTTGACACTAAATGCTGGCGAGGATATGAAACAACAGGTGCCTTCCTTCACTGCTGGTGTGAATGCAAAATGGTATGCCACTTTGGAAGATAGCCTGACCACTTTCTTACAAAATTAAAGGTAGGTTTACCATACAATGCTTCTAGATATTTACCCAAAAGAGTTGAAAACCTATGACAACACTAACCTTGCATACCGTTGTTTATGGCAGCTTGACTCATAATTGCCTAAAACTAAAAACAACCAATATGTCCTTCAGTAAGTGAATGGATAAACTGTGGTAAATACATATAATAGAGCATTTTTCAGTGATAAACAGAAATAATGTATCAACCTACAAAAAGACATAGAAGAACTCTAAATGCACATTGCCAAATGAAAGGAGTCAGTCTGAAAAGGCAACAAATTGTATGATTCCAATTATATGACATTTTATAAAAGGCAAATAACTATAGAGACAATAAAAGATTAGTCAGTGGTTCCAAGAGGTTCAAGGGGAACAAGGAAGGGATAAACAAGTATAGTACTAACTACTCTGTATGATTCTATAATGGTGGATACTTGACATTATGCATTCCTCAAAACCCACAGAACTGTTTTAAGACAAAGAATGAACCCTAACGTAAACTATGGCTTTAGTTAATAATAATGTATCATATTGGTTCATCAATTATAATAAATTAACTACACTAATTCAAGATGATACTAATAGGGAAGACTATATAGGGAGTGTAGGGAAGGATATGAGAACTCTTTCTATTCAATTTTCCTGTAAACATAAAACTGCTCTAAAATATAATTTTTGAAAAAATCCACTACAAATTTAAAGTGTAAGGTATGTATATTCCTAATATGGGAACGGGCTTTAAAATTAAAGTAATTGAAATAGGTGGTTTTTAAGGAATGCGTTGTGTCCTCCATAAAAGATTTCTTGAAGTCCTAACCCCTGTAGCTGTGAATGTCACCCTGTTTGGAAACAGTGTCTTTGAAGATGTTATAAGTAAGGTTAATATGAGGTTATACTGGAGTAATGTGAGTACTAATGTTATGTGACTGACATCCTTATAAAAGAGGAGAAAATAAATATAGACAGGGAGACAGAAGAAGGATATAATGTGATACTACACCTACAAGCCAAGGAATGTCAGGGGCTCCCAGAAGTTGGACAGAGGCATAGAACAGATTCTGGCTCAGAGTCCTCAGAAGGAATCAACATAGCTAATATCTTGATATGGGCTTCTGGCTTCCAGAATGTCCACCCTCTAAAACTTATAAGTCACTCCACTGCAAGTATTTTTGTTACAGCAGACCTAGGAAAGTAATATGTTGCTGTTGTTTTTGTTAGGTGCCGTTGAGTCAGCTCTGAATCATAGCAACAACAGAACTGCCCAAATCTGCACCATCCTCACCCTCCTTCTCATGCTTAAGTCCATCATTGCAGCCACAGTGTCAATCCTTGTCATTGAGGGTCTCCCTCTTCTTTGCTGACCCTCTACTTTGCCAAGCATGATATCCTTCTCCAGAGAATAGACCCTTCTGACAACATGACCAAAATGGGTGAGATGAAGTCTGACCATTCTTGCTTCAAAGAAGCATTCCAGCTACATTTCTTCCAGAATGGATTTGGTCATTCTTCTGGCAGCCCATGGCATTTTCAGTATTCTTTACAAACATTGGTCTTCCTTACTCATTGTCCAGTTTCACATGCGTATAAGGCGATTGAAAATACAATGGCTTGGGTCAGGCACACCTGAGCCTTCAAAGTGACATCTTTGCTTCTTAACACAATAAAACAGTCTTTAGCATCGGTTTTCCCAGTGCAATAAGCTGTCTGATTTCCTGACTGTTTCTTCCATGGGTATTGATTGTGAATCCAAGTAAAGTGAAATCTTAAACAACTTCAATCATTCCTCCATTTATCATGATGTTGCTTATTGGTCCAGCTGTGAGGATTTTCATTTTATGTTGAGGTGTAATTCATACTGAAAACTGAAGTCTCTGATCTTCATTAGTAAATGCTTCAAGTCATCTTCACTTTCAGCAAGCAAGGTTGTGTCATCTGCATACCACAGGTTGTTAAGGGTTCTTCCTCTAATCCTGATGCTGTTTTCTTCTTCATATAGTCCAGCTTTTCAGATTATTTGCGTGACATACAGATTGAATAAGTAAGATAAAAAGATACATCCTTGACACACACCCCTGACACACTTTTCCTGATTTTAAACTATGCAGTGTCCCCTTGTTCTATCTGAATGACGGCCTTTTGGTTATGTACAGGTTCCCCATGAGAACAATTAAGTGTTCTGGAATTCCCATTCTTTGCAATGTAATCCATAATTTGTTATGATCCACACAGTTGAATGACTTTGCACAGTCAATAAAGCACAGGTAGACATCTTCCTGGTATTCTTTGCTTTCAGGTAAGATCCATCAGACATCAGTATTGACATTCCTAATTCCATGTACTCTTCTGAATCCAGCTTGCATTTCTGGAAGTTCCCCGTCAATATACTGCTGCAACCATTTTTGAATTATCTTCACCAAGATTTTACTTGCATGTTTTATTAATGATGTTGTTGTTGTTAAGTGCCATCGAGTCGTTTCCGACTCATAGCGACCCCAT